TTCGATCTTTTAGCGGGTCACCCGTCGCTTACGATACTTCCATATGACGTTTAAAAGTGTCAAATTATACAATTAGCTTTTATTCTTTCCTGCTGATGGGTGATGTGTATAAAGTAAAATGCACCATCGATAAACCACACTTAAGACACTAACATTTTTTGTAACACCTACAAAACAAAAATACATAACAAAAAACTTATGAGCATTCAAAATTTACTCATTTATTATTTATTAACACTTTAATATTAGCTAGTACAATCATAAATAAACATTACAGACCCGTTAACCCGTCGACTAGTTCATTGATTGCTTGACTTTATGGTCCGATCGAACGAAGATTCTATCGAACAAATGTTCGACCCAAACAGAGTGAAAAGGTGAACCGTGTTGTGAGTGGGGACTTCACGTGAGAGTGAACGATACAACAATAATATTGTGAATATTTGAATAATCTCTAAAATTATAGTCATAAAGTCGAATATTGTGTGCATGACCCATGAACCTCTAAAATGATCGGGTTATTTAGAAGCTAGTAACCCGGTTTCAGGTCACTGGTGCTCGAATCATGTTGATTCGATCGATCACGATCGACACATGTCTAATATATATGGCTGCCCTCTATGTTTAACGTATAATATATGTATGCAATGTGTAATGCCCACAGACCACTATGTGTATAATGTACAATGCAATTAATGTGTAATGTAATGGCATTCATGCCTACATAAATAATAAAGGCCCATTTAGATGGAAAGAGTTTCTCGTCTCGTAGATACGATTATCGAAAGAATACAAAAAACTATCCCCGTCTAAACATTCGCGATTATCGCCCTGCCTCGTGAGCGATAACCACCTCGCCTTTCAATATTGAACATCTCCGTGTAAACAGAACTTGAAAGCAAAAATCGTATTTCGAGTTTTTGTGCCAGCCAGTCCTTACCATGAGTGCAGTTGTTTCCTTCTTCCTAATAAATTTGTATAAAAAAAATACTACAAAGGAATGGAATATACTACCAGCGCCTGTGTTTGGTGAAATAAGTACCTACCTATACAATTTGGGGCTATTCAAGCTTATAGTGAATAGACATTTTTTAGACAAACGTGTACATAGTCTCTAATACAATTTATGTTAATATATAATTAATAATAAAAATATACAATTTATGTTATATAGTTGTACATATAGCTGCGACCATATGACATGTAAATACCCCGTAATGTAAGTTTCTTTAAAAAAAACTGGTAAACTCGATTTATAAATAATTTGAAGTTATCCTTTATCACTAGTGCATCCCGAACTGCGTCAATAGTCTCCACTATATAGGAGATTATAAAATTGTTGGCGGCGACGACGGCGTGAAATCGGCATACACAATTATGTATATTTTACATGTCCTTTAAACACATTGTTAAAATCAATTTTCACATGAATTATCAACGTTTTTAATACTGACAACGGGCCATGTTCTATGGAGTTTGACAGATGAATAGCACAAGCATTCATGCGCCATCTAGCGGGAGAAATAAGTAAGTCAGTACGCCTTCATTTCAATCTAGTTTGAATAATATGACCTCGTTAAAATATAAATATGTACGTCGATAAGAACGTAATTTATTTTCATTGTATTTTATTATTGTATTGAAATATACTAAATAATTAACAAAAAGGCTAATACTTTGCTGGTCAAATTCATCAGCGGCGGCGGCAGCGCGGCTGAAATTGGATGAATACGTAATCGTCGTTCTCCGTGACATTCATAATAGAAAAGTAGAAATATTGTTGATTTAAGTTATTCAAAATAACAAACGATAAAATCGTTTACAAATAAGTTAGGTACCATTGAAGTAGGTTACAAATCAATAAGGTATCTTGGCAGTATTATGGAAAACACGCGTTACCGGAAATCACATACGTTACGTACTCTCCAAATATTTAAACGATAATTTGAAATTATCGTTCAAAAGCTCATATAGTGTATTTGGTTTACACGACGACGCCGACGACATAGCTAGAATTGTAAAACGATTGGTACCATGGGTTTTAAATTTTGGTACTGTTGGCGACATCTATTAAGTAATTACACAACTAAAACCGTTAACATTCTAATTTTACCTTGCATTGCTAGGTGGCGCTAAATTTTATTCAATATAAACGTACTACTATGCATTCATTTCGGTAACTGTAACTAAACGTGGTCGTTAGCGTATGACTAATTTTATCAAACAGCGACTAATGCCTGCTAATTATGTGAAACCACATCTGCAAAATAAACTATTATTTCTTTACGTTAGATGTCGCTACGTACGGATTTGTGTACGTGAATTGTACTGATGCGATGTTAAGTAATTTGAATTAACTAGCCGAAGTTAAACTAATGATTAAATTAGGAGCTAAACAGTTAGAACGGAACTGAAATACAAATTTCTCATACACACGTTTTCAAAGTACATTATACTTACGTCTGTGACATTAATATAGCACGTAGGCAATCGACATACATTGAAATTGTCATAAGTTTTCACGTGTTATCTCTAGCGTGAATTGTTGTGGTATTTGTTAGAAGAAAAACTGCACTTTTATCCAAATCGTTTATTCAAGCAAAGAACATAATATGAACAAACTATAACATTAAATTTATCTACTTAATGATATTTACAATCCGTACCTTACTTACCTTATAATGATTATCCTACGTACATACAACTATCACGCTTATTGCTAAGTATAGAAATGCAGAATACCACTCGCCTTTCGTATTCAAATTTAAAACAATAAATTTAATCCAAAATAATTTAACTTGCTTTTTTGGAGTGCCCTATCGAAGTAGCGAAAACCAGGAGAGACTTATTTGACAAACTGTAACATTAAATCATGGGGTGATACAGTAGCTTATTTTAATTATGTTACAGACATATTCTAAAGTCGAGAAACAGCTTCGTATTTAATAGTTCTCCTATCAAATAAGTCAATTCACATCAACGCTAATATCGCCATGGGGCACGTAAAATAATATTCTGCATTTTTATGTCAATTACTTCTTAAAAAACAATTATTGATAAATAACTTATCAATAAAATTGTCATATAATAAACGGAAGTGCCCTTCACGTCATGCATTGGAATTAAATATTATATTATGTAATTGAAAAACTTGTTAGGCACAAATATTTTGTGTAAAATAGACAACAGTGAATTTTGAATATACATGACCTTTGGACGTTTGTGTTGAAAAGCCTCAAGTAAACTATTTAGGGTCACTAGTCTCATACCTAGTTATAATTACATATGGACTTTTTAAACAAATGCCAAACAAGAAAAACAACATTGGCTCGACATACAAACACATAAATAGTGCTTAACAGGAGTGTTGTGGCTTAACTAATAACTAAGGAACAAGTGTGTATGCAACGTTTTTCGTTGCAGCAACACCACTTGGTGGGTTTTGATGAAGTTGCAGCAACCAAAGTCAGAGCATACATATAATATTATTACGGCATAAATTAATATTATTATAATCTAACACACTGTCATCTGCCTTCGTCTTGACAGGTTTAAATTTGAAAGTATTAAGAAAATGTGAAATTACATCAGAGATGACGTAATAAGGAAGGCAGAATTGCTGAAATAATTCCAAAGACAACAACGGTTATGGAAAGTAATATAATAAGCATATTGCAGCCACAATTTAGTGCTTCTTCTTCTTTATCTTCAGTCAGCAAATCCAAGCAAATAATATCTTACTTATTATGATCAGTATTGCTTAATGCAAAAATAATCTAAATTGTTACAGGTAAACAGTACAAAAACAAAATTTAACTTAGCACGTTATACTAAAACAATTGATGGCATTTTCATTGAATGTCAAGGAATACACGTTTCAAAACTTACAGTTGGAATTCCAGTTTACAAAGTCGTAACTTGTAATTTAATTTGTTTAAATGTAAATTAATAAAAAGTACAGCAAGTCTGTATTGCTGACGGTGCAAGTCACAAATGTTACAACAACCATGTAACAATTTACTCTTCATAACAATTACACAGATCACTTTCAGAAGTCAGGGTGTAAATCAATAATGTAACATTACATCTATGGGAGTAAATAAAATATTTTAGTATAACTCTATGAGGACACTTTCTACACAGACCCATATAACATACAAAAAGTCATAAACTATATTCCATATGATTTTAAAATAGATATACTATGTCCGACCCACTCAATATAGCATTTCACAATACAATATACATTCTAGAGACATCACCACTTGTTTCGTACATTACATTCAGAGCTGAGTGGACAGGCCGGCCGCAGCCGTAGCCCGAGGCACCCACTAAGCTAAGGACACTCGGAGACACTGACAGTTCGCGCTCACTGCGGCTGACTCGACTGCGCCGCTTGGTTGGCCGACTTGGTGATGACGATCGTCTGCTTGCCGCCGACGCCAGATTTGCCAAGTTGTAGCATGTTCGAGGGCAGCGTGATGATCTTGTTACCGCCCATTGTGTTCGCCGAAACGAGCTTCACAATGGTGGCGCCGGACGCAATGCCCTGCGCTTGTGCTACGCTAACCGGTACTGCGGGCCGATTCTGCATCATTGCTACCTTTGGCATCGTCGCTACGGTCATCCCAGTCGATGTTTTGACGAGCGTCACATACTGTGGCGTGTTGCTTGCCTGTGCACTTGCGCCGGGCGTCTTCTTGATGATAACGGGTATGCCGGCATTGCCACCAGCCTGCCGCAGCACCGTGGCGCCGGTCGCGGACGTAGCTGTCGTTGCTACGGTCGCTGTCTGCTCCCCAGATTTTGCCGTAACAATTTTGTATACAGGTGCTTTTACGGGTTGTCCTCCTAGCGCGCTGCCTGCTATTTGTATGGCACCGCCGCTGCTTGCTATGACTGGTAGGTTACCAGCGCCCAACTTTACTGGGACGCCCGTCGCGACTTTGCCTTGAATGCTACCAGGCGCCGCTACTGCTTGAATAGGAACACCGCCCGCGGTCTTCACGAGCACGTTACTCGTGCCAATCTTGACGTTACCGGCACCGAGTTTTAGAGGCACATTGGTTGTTGCAACTTGGCCGACCTTCTGAACGGTATTTGTAGTAATTTTACCCTGAATGTTTGCCGCGCCAATTTTAAGAGGAACGGCATTCCCGGCGAGTTTGACTGGGGTGCCGGCGCCGAGCTTCACTGGTACGCCGCCACTGGCGCCGGTCTTGACTTGGACGAAGCGCGGAGTACCAGCGCCGACTGTCGCTGAGCCAATCACGATTTGTGCGTTCGACTGCGCGGTCGAAACGCGCACGGTGCCGGGGGTGGTCACGCCGCTCACAATTCTGGTCATGCCCTGTGGAGTAACAGCAGCAACTTTGATCTGCTGCGACGAACCTGGCGTTGCAACTGTTGCTGGTGACTTGACCACCGTTTTGCCCTGATAAGTAGTCTGTTTTATTGTAGGTGTGTTAGGTGAAATTTTAACAGTAGCAGCTTGAGCTGGGACTTTGATGGGGCCAATTTTCTGTGGTGTGGTGACGATTGCCGCAGTTGATGAGGCCGCCGCTGCTGTGGGTCGCACTGGCATGGACAACGGTTCAGCCGTGGGTGGGGGTGGCAGTCCGCTGGAAATAGGTGATGTTAAACCAAAAGCTTTGGCGGCGTCTGGTTGTGATGCTATGGGCGATGCGGGTGGCGGCGCGGCCACCGGTTCGGCCGCGGCGGGGAAACGCGCCGGTGTCACCTTGCCACATTTCTGTACTTGTAAAACATATGTAGTAACGGTGTTCATCGCAGGCCAACACAGTTCTAAGGATGTGGTACCAGCACGAACAAGGGCTACTCTTCCAGCTTGAGGAGGTACACCAACTTCTAGATACCACAGGTCTTTGCAGCAAATTTGGTTATTCCAAGTTTTTCTATAACCATCTCGTCCTGACCAAATGTACAGTCTAGTTTGAATGGCAACTGCACTGTGGCCTGCTCTGGCGCGTGGAATGCACTCTTCAAATTTATCTAAAGCAATGTTGTCCCAAGTCATAGTTTCTAGATTCAGTGATGCCAATGTGTTGGTACATTTCCACTCCTTTTCGTGGGTTGCAAGTTTAGATTCATCAGGAACAAGGGGAACCCACCCTCCGTAGACATACATGTGGTGTCCAATGACAGTGGCTGTATGTAGGGATCGTGGGAGAGGGGCCGGACCACCAACTTCAGGACGGGACCAGGACATAGTATCTACATCTAGAACCCACAAGTCGCCGAGGCGAGAGCCGCTCATACCTCCATAAATGATGAGTGACGATTTACCAGTATTTTTATCTGTGTAGGCGACGCCGCTGTGGGACTCCCTGGGTGGGGGCGACTGCCCATAGGTTAATGGGATGTCCCATACAGTCATAGATGAGTTAGGATACAGTTCAAGCGTGTACAAGTCGTTGAGATACCTCGGTATGTTGTTCTTCGGGTCGTCGCTCTCATTGGCAAGCCCGCCGAAGAGATACACTTTCCCATTGAGTAATGTAAAGCTGTGTCCGAGGCGCGGGCACGGTGGTAGGCCTTGCTTGGGTGGCAGCGGCTTGAGGCGCTTCCACTCCCAGCGCGAGGCCTGCAGTTCGTAAAGGTCGTTCGAATACTTGCCGTACTCCACCATGCCGCCGAACACCAGCAACCGCGTACCGTCCACCACGAAGCCGTAGGCAGCACATCCTGGGGGCACTTCTCCCTTGGTGACAGGTACGAACCATTGATTTGTGGTAGTGTTGAAGACGTGAAGCTCATGAACTATTCCTTCGTTTCCGCCGCCGAAAACTATCATCAAATCTTTTATGGCGACCGCGCGATGGCCATGCCGGGGTCGGGGCTGCGGGCCGGTGGGATTGTAGACTTTTTGCCACTTAAGTACCGCGTTTTCCTTCATTTTTACTAAACATTTGTCACTAAAAGCTTGAACCGTATGTATCGCTCGGGATGCGTATCTATAGCATAGACAATGAGAAACGTCGTAAATAAGCTTTGAAGAAAATATTCGGGTCAGTAGAAGCTACATAATGGACTCCAGTTCGGACCTCTCTTTCCCACTCGCGTTATTTGCTAATGAGTAAAAAAAAAGCACCATATGCAGCTTCGAGTGTATAACAAAAATGGCGTTAGCAACAGTGCTGCCAATGCAACAAAAAGAGAAAGAACGGCGTCGGAGACGTCAAGAAATTGTCTATGATTGAGTTTTGTTTTAATTTCAGCCAGTGCAACTATTTGACAACCGTTCCTAGAAAGTATATCACTGAAATATCAACTTTATAACCATTTTTTAATCATTATATTGTACTTTATGGTGTCCATATGGTATTTTAATTTATCTATAATATTATTGCAACCTATACACAATTATTTGTAAAATAATTTGGGCAAAACAATCTTTTCCATAAAAGTGAAAAATGAATGACTTCTTTGCGAGTATTGTTTATGATAAAACCTATTCGTTCAATAGTCAGATGTTAATAATTTTGTGCATCAATACACTCGTCATTGTGTCGTATAATCACCGTATAATGGGGTCACATTAACTCGTAAATAATGTAAATAACCCATAAATAACAATAAGAAATATATCAAAATTAAGACGAATATAAAAACCACAGTTGTTCACTAACTTCATTTTTTGGTAGCTGACAAAGTCAAATGTGGAAAATTAACAGAAAAATATTGGAAAAATATCCGGATAAATATTTATTGTGGTGAAAATTATGATGTTTCAAAATCGAAATTTTTCCATAACGCAACACCATGAGAGAATTACTTTTTGCATGCGAAATGTGGTAAAGTATGAGCTCTATTTCTCTACTGTGTTCCATCTTTTGTTCACCATATTTTAAGCAAATAATAATAAATAATTTCATTTCATTTCATTTCCATTTTGAAAATTTCATCGGGCCACAATTCATTGGGAAAAGAATGAGCTATGTTAGCAATTTTATTCGCATGAATACCTAACATGTTGTTCAATATTAGTGAAGCAAAATCAATAATATCAATTCATCAAAATTACATTCATGTGGAATATGTTAGGTAATATAGTTTATATAGCTATCACATTTTTCCTATAAACGAGATTTAGAGAATTAATTAAAATAATAGTGTCAAAAGCCCAGATTATTGTTTTGTGATCTGAGGTCAAAAGGCAAGATATAAAATATAATTATGGTTTTCGGTTTTGAAGCTTCAATGAGTAATAATTTTATATAATTCCATGCAGTGACAGAAATGTATAAAACTCAAGAAATGTTAGCATATTAGACTATAAAAAAATAACAGGAAAAGGATATTGGGAGTACGTTGCAACAATTTAAAGTAAGTTACATACAATAAGTTCTCATCAAGTATGATACTTTGGACTGTTCAAATCGTAAGCGCCATAGAGTTGCATTTAAATGTTAAGTGTTAAGATTCACGTGCCCTGGGCCCTGTAAATACTATGAATATGTTTGCTCTTTTCGATATGTATGTATACATGTACGTAGTTATATAAACGCACCAATGCAGGATTACAACACGACGACAAACTATTTATATTGTAAATCAAAATACTATGTCAATGATTCAAGGACATTTGAAATTTGATTTCAATGTTTCACATTGAATCAAAAATTTAATAATTTGTCTGAAATTTAATCATGCAGCTGTGGCATATAATTATGTATTTAGTGGTTACAGTATGTAGTGTATTTTAGACAAATAAAAACTTTTTTAATAAAACGAATGGACCCTTGTAAATAACACTTGATTTGGCTAAATATACAAGTATCCAAAGTCATACAGTTTGGCGCCGATTTTGTGGCGTTATTGGCACTACTGTTCAAAAGCGCGGCATATTCCAAGCGGGGAAATATAAAATTTTGTATTTTTTCATTGTCGCCATGTCGACTTGGCTACATTTAATTTATAATAAATTGATTTTGTATAACATCATTACCACTTTGACGTTGGCACAAAGTATTCTAGTGCCATTATTTAAAAAAATCTACCTAAAATTGAGTTTTCCCGTACTTTGAATAAATTCAGAATCATAATTACTATATTTCATACGCAATATGCTAAAAAAATACAAATTAATAATAAAGTAGTTACTTAAGTCGAATATTCTTTGGCATGTTTACATGTTTAGTTATATGCTGTTAGTGTAAGTTGTAATAAATAAATAAATAAATAAATAAATAAATAAATAAAATTGACCTAACAGCAAGTGAACGACGGGCTTAGTACAAAAACCACGAAAAAAATGTCCGGAGTTAACATAAACAAACGTAGTGACATGTATGTAAAGAAATATAAAAAAATTAAAACATTTAATTTAAATTGTAATGTCATAATACTACTGCTTAATTTTGCTTGCAACAATTCAAGGTCTAAAAATCCACCATATTCAGCTCCTACTGGAAATGTAATAAAATGCACCATAATTTAGTTTCTAGTAAAAATTACTTGAACACAAGAGTAATAGTAGCGTAGCGTAGATTTTTACTTTTATACAAATTCGCAAAGAAATTATATTAAAGAGTTATCCAGACATACAAACGAATATCATAATGTGGAAATTGCAGCGTCTCTCTGTTCTTCTTCTTTAGTTATGATGTGCTATTAGAAATGTATCTATGTTTGAATTTCTAGATTTCTATATAAACGTAAAATATAATATATGTATTTACGGAATCATTTATTTTAAAAACTAAATGCTTTATACATGTCAAATTTTGCAAATCGAAATCGACAAGTATATCATAAATATGTTTTAATAACATAAATTGTAGTGTCCTTGTGTTGCTATCTTGCAGAACTAAATTGATCTCAATTCACCAGTGTCCCGTTTGTGAAGATTACACAATGATTAGGTGTCCGTCAGGATCGTTGGACCAAACGAGATATACAAATGTAACTGTGCTTATTACTAATTAATATAATAATTGTTATAAAATATAGCTTACAAAGATAATCCAGAAACCATTGTTGGCATAGTCTGAGTGCCTGTAAAATTATTATTAGCAATTATACGGAGAAGATAAACTGTCTTTTTTAGATGATAATATTTGCAAAGGTGTGACACATGATTAGTATAGTGTCACCGTTGATATATTCTGAGACTCGGTAACCGGTCTCCGACGATCCTCAATAAGCGAACTTACTAATACCTTCTCTGTAATTTGTTTTATTATGTATAGCTTTTTTCGCTTTTTGTTTCGGATTGTTTTAGATCAACCTGAAAGATTAATGCTTACTACTTACAGATGGAATACAAGTTTGTATTCCATCTGTAAGTAGTCCGATTCATGTATACAAGGTGTCCTACATACAACACGGATGCAAAGTACTATATATAAAATGGAATATGTGATAAATTTGATAAAGAGGTACTCAAAGGTACTCATACCTTCATAAATAAAAAAAGTAAAGTTTTGAAAATAAATGCTTTGCTAAGTTAACCTATTATTGTGAGCTGGAGACATTTTATTTCTCATGTGCATAATTACGTAAAATATAAATTGCAGACAGCGTTGATTGTTTAATGATATTCAAATCCACTGTTTGCGCAATTAATTTATTAATTAAACGTTTGCATGAGCGAGACAGCTCGCAAGGAAGAATTCGAGACAAAAAATAGGTTACCTATTATGGAAGGTGTTTCTTGCGTAGGAGTAGCTTTAGGCTGGAAAAAAATAAAGGAGCTTTCACTAGACATCAATTCGGAATCGGATTTTAGAGGTGGAAAAAAATAAAAGTAGAAACAATCCTTTCTTGACAGAGTTAAAGTCAAATAATCTTTTTTCATTTTGATCCTAGTAGCCTGGCACTGACACTGGCGACCATCGCCATAATTTTTATATTATTCTTATGAAACTGACACTGGCACAAGTCTAGTGGCCGCCATAAAGGAAATAATAATAAGCAAATTACACTTGAAATCGTCATATTTTATTAATTTCGTAAGGCAAGAAACTCTAGGGGTTGATCTTTGTAAATATGCATTTGAATACATTTATCATTAGAATATAATATTTTAATTTAAACATTTTAGTTCGAGACTACCTAGAAGAGCTAAACGTGTCACTATCACGGATTTTTGTCAACTACGCAAAAACTGTATAATATCTTTAGTATGACGTTTTTGTTTCATTGTAGTTTTAAACCTCATGAATGGCAAATTTTGAATATGTATTACGGGATGACCGTTTGTATGTTGACTGAACGTCGGATAACGCAGATTTTCTATTATCATAATTACATAAAAATGACAGAGAAGAATAAAATTCTAGGTGTGAAATATTTGAAGAACGCAAAATAATCAACTTAAAGTTTGTAAAAAATCAACCACACGCTCATATCTAACACGAATACCTACGATGTACGTAGACAGGAACGGCGTTAATTTTAATTGTACGGAAATACGAAATTATGAAATACGAAACGCAGTGCACTTCCTTTAGTGATATCACGCTTACGGTACGTGTCAGCACGCAAGAGCAATCGCGCAGTGCTGGACTCACCCTGGAAAAAACCAATTTATTTTGTGGTTCTCGAAACGAGTATCACTAGCGAAATGACAAGGACCAATTATACTAGGCAATTTATACAATGAACTAATGAATAAAATATTCTTTCACGCACATTTAAATTACAATAATGACACAGAGAACAGTAACGAAAGTATAACAGAATAAAGGTAAGTAGCAATTTGTTACAGGTAATAATCGAGTTATTAGGTTTTGGCGATTGATTGACACATGGGAAATGAAACCATTTTTTCGGATTTAAATCGCGTATTTATTTATTTTTTCAAACAAACGAATGAACCTTTCGGGTCCTTTACAGGTCACTTTTCCATGGTCACGGCTGCCTGAGATTGGTACTAGTTATAAACTTATATTTACATAAATACATTTATCATCACGCTTGTATTCTACCTACTCCTGTCAAACTTTTTTGACCCCACTCTTATCAGTGTCTTCAAACATGCCTGTCTATTCTTGATACTTTTAACACGGCCTTTTTAA